CAGACTGCTGTGGCCGCTGGGTCCTAGCACGTGCCCTGTTTTCCAAACCTTTTCGTTCCGAATGCGACGGACGTTAAAACAGCAGCATTTTGTGAGGACGAATGCGCGGTTGCGGCAAAGCAATAAACGGTTGGCAGAAAGGAAATGTTAGGGTTTAAAAAATGCACGTATCTCAGGCGCGGTTGCGGCAAAGCAATAAACGGTTGGCAGAAAGGAAATGTTAGGGTTTAAAAAATGCACGTATCTCAGGCGCGGTTGCGGCAAAGCAATAAACGGTTGGCAGAAAGGAAATGTTAGGGTTTAAAAAATGCACGTATCTCCCATGATTTTTATATGGGGGCTGCCTAAAGACGTCATCAGTTTGCAAATCACATCCAATTTGCAAAGAATCACCCAACGAACCTTTACAATCATAGTTCTAGCACTCCTGAGAGCTGCTCTGAGATAAAAAGTAGAACCAGAATCAGGGCACGGATTTTGATGCAACCTTTTTGCATTTTATGTGGGATCCAATGGCAGTTACTATCAAAGGCAGACCATATTTGTTTGCAAAGTTATGGAATATGAACATTATTATTTATAGATTTATTTTTGGTGCTGCCATGGTACATGGATCCTAGGTATAGATCTTCACGATTTTCTGTGGAATCAATCTGAAACCACATTCAAAACTCGGATCACGTCTGCTTGCGCAGAGGGAGCAGTTAAAATTATGATCTGATGGCTTCTGGCAGGTCTGTGGCAGAAAAATGGCACATTCCAAAATGGATCCATGGCATGAATTCTCATGATTTTGAATGGCAGCCACCTGCTATTACTGTCAAAATACAAGTTAAATCTATCCACACCCAGAATGAGCCATTACAATTACAGTACATATGCTGGGCAAGTTCTAGAATTGCAAGACTGAATTCCTGGACAATTCAGAAAGCATCAAGGGTGGAGAAGGCTGATACCAATCTAGAACCGATTTTTGAAATCTACAAACAAGCAGTAACAGAAGGCTTAGTTCTGAATCCAGTACTCTGAAAATAGAAGAATTAAATGTAGTAAGGAAAAATGTGGGCTATTACATTTTAATAAAGGTGAAGAGAAACAGGAACAGGTGTAAAGGAGAACAGTGGGGATGATCAGAGGACTGGGAACTAAATAAGTCATATCAGGAGAGAATGGAATTCTGGGAACTGAAGTCCACACATCTTAAAATTGCTGAGGTTGAGAAACGCTGATTCAGACAACTCTTCTAGATTGTAGAAGAGTTACAATCTAGAGTACTAGATTGAAGAGTACTAGATAGTACTCTTCAAATTTCTGAAAGGGTGTCACAAATTATGTGTGTAACACTCTTTACTTGGGGCTGCCTTTGAAGACTAGTGGGAAACTGCAGGTAGTACAGAACAAGATTTTGCACTGGCTGCTACTGTTCAAGCCTTTGATGGCTTGATCCCTGGATATTTGCACAACTATCTCCTTTGAACTGAATCTGCCTGCCCTGTGATCTAGTCAAGAAAGGTTGCTTAAGAAGTTAGAGGGGAGATGGTCCAGGCCTTTCAAATGGCTGTCCCTGCCCTAAATTTCAGGTTACATCCATGATGGATATCTTGTGAAAGGTTGTCCAAACTGAACGGTTCCACTCAATATTCTGGGCTTAATTTTGAGGGTTGCGCTACTCTATCTCTTTTCTAACTGAATACAATATGTTTAGGTAGACTGTAGGGAGTGTTTTGAGATTTTATTTTTTTTTTCATTGTGAACTGCCCAGAATTTTAGATTGGAATGATCTATTTAATATTGCTATTAAATAAATCATATAAATTAAGCTAAAGGGAGGCTGATTTGAATGTTAGGAAAAACTTTTTAGCAGTAGGAAAAGTTTAACAGTGGAACCAAGTGCCAAGGAATGCAGAGTCTAGATAGCTTTCTGTTGAGGATGTTTAATTTGGATTCGTACATTGAGAAGGGCATCGGCTATGCAGGCTGAGATAGTAACTTCTTAGAATTAACGCTTCACAGAATGGGTTCTGCAGTCTGAAGCAGCAAAAGCTCCAAAGATTCTATAAGTACACACCAGGTAAAGAATTATAGGATTTGCACATCAAAACTGACATGCTTTCAGTAAT